GGGTAGGCCGCACACTATTCTTGTGTGGCCTCACTCCATCAAAACACCATTAAAGGTGGCTGTTTTTACAGTCACAGGCAGTCACTTTCAAGGCTTATATCTCACTCATTTCAAGTCGGATTGGTCCCAAATTTGGTGATCATGTTCGTCTCATCAAGACAAGCAATTCGATATGTGTTACGCCCCATGACGTTGCCCGAGCAGAGAGAAAAACTAAATGACATTCTCTTATGTGTGAAGGAAGTTGCAGAAAATTCAGCAGCAGCATGCCTTGTTCTAGTACCCAAATCATGACACTTGCATACCCGATCAGCACAAAACCAATTGTATTATGTGCGTGAGGTCCGAGGCTATCTCTAGTCTAAACCTTGCATACGATGCATGATTGTATTTCACGCATGAAGGCGTCAAAGCTGCTGCCAATTCTGGCCACCGAATTTCAAGATTCCGGTCAAAAACTCAAGACGACAAAATCTTCATACGGACACGAAATCAAGCTACATTTGTTGCAACGTGATCGTGACGGCATACTCAGTGTGATTCAATGAAGAAATCACGAAGAAACATCAAGGATCGAGCACACAATCGATCCGAAGTTTTCAAGATTCTTCCAAAATTCAAGTCTCATGATCATGGCTCAAAAACCTGATTCATGACTCGAAGGTGGTATCAAAATGATCACCATGTCGAGCCCTATAAGAAAACAATAATCTTTCGATCAAACGGGCATTAGAATGACCCCGGGTAAGCCACGAAAGATCGCGTAAGTTCTCGGGGAACAGCAGAGACTGTTATATAATTCCACACATTGTTAGGAAGGGGTAAAACAATCCTTTTGCACCCATTTTTAAAATTTCTTTAAATTCAGTGAAATTGTAATTATCTTCAATTCTAGCTAGTTTTTGGGCATACACCCATGTTTTAGCCCAACTCTATGGAAACATGCAAAGCTAAATTATAGGGACCTTCGGTTAATTTTTCATTCATTAAAAAAAAATTCCATTCTTGCTGAAGTTCTTGGGTACATCTTGGAGAGAGAAAGAGGAGAGAGAAGAAAAGGGCCTGTACTCTTTGAGCAGGTAACTTTCTCTCTCCTTCTCTCTTTCTCAATCTCCCCTTTGTCTCGTCATTGTCTCTTTATCTCTCCTCTCCTCAGTCTCATCTCTATCTCTTTCTCTCTCCTTCTCTCTTTCTCAATCTCCCCTTTGTCTCGTCATTGTCTCTTTATCTCTCCTCTCCTCAGTCTCATCTCTATCTCTTTCTCTCTCCTCCTCTCTGTCTTGTCTCCCTCTCTTTCTGTTCCCTCCCCTGTTTCTCGTTCCTCTCTCTATCTCTCTTCTTCTCATCTCTATCTCGTTCTCTTTTAAAGCCAAGTTTAAGACCAGTTGGATTTCTCTCTCTCCTCTTTTGAAGCCAGTCAGCAAAGTCTAGCATCGCTAGTCGATGAAGGCTAGAGCTTGTTGGATTTATATCTCTCCTTATCTTTTGATGCCTGTGGCAAAGTCTAGTGTTGGTTGGACTTCTCTCTCTCCTTCTCTTGTGAAGCCAGTCGATGAAGTCTAACATCGGTTGGATTTTTCTCTCTCCGTCTCTTGTAAAGCCAGTTTGTGAAGTCTAGTGCCGACCGTATTTCTCTCTCTCATTTTTTGTCACAGTTGGCGAAGCCTAGTGCCGGCTCAATCTCACTCTCTTGCTTCTCTTTCATCACAACCAGCGCAAGCCTAGCCTCGGCTGGGTCTCTCCTTTTCTCTTCTCATGACAGTCAGTGAAGACTAGCACCGATCGCATTTTCTTTCTTTTCTTCGGATAATCGATGAAGCTTAACGTTGACTGCTTTTTCTCTCTCTTCTTCTGACAAAGTTAGTGAGATCTAGCACTGACTGCATTTTCTCTCTTTGCTCCTCACCATCGGAGAAGCCTAGCACGACTGTGATTTGTCTTTCTTTTCCTCACAGGCAGTGAAGCCTAGTGCTGCCTTCATTTTTTCTCTCTTCCTTTTAACACAACCGATAATGCCTAGCGCCGACTATGTCTTCCTTCCCTCTGTCTCTTTTATTCTCCCGCCTTTCATACTCTTCTCTTCCATTCTTCTCCTCCCTGCTTGTGTTCCCTTCTTCTCTTAATTCACTTTGTATTCTTTCTTTATAACCATCATTTTGTTACTCTTTCATTCGATTAAGAGGGATTGAGTTTAGCCTCTCATGTCATCTAGCCATTATGCTGTTGTGCAAGGATTACTTGCCCCGCTTTTTTGCCACGACAGATTAACCATCGTGACTAGCTAGTTTGTACCGGTATTGACGTCTAGTAGTAATCCTTTGAGACAGTTTTAATTACCAAGCCCTTTTTACTACCACGTCAGGGCAATTATTCATCAGCTTGGTCACCGTTCTGATCCTCCCGCTCAGTCAGATTCTTTTCTCCCCCGCCTTTCCTCTCTTATTTATCTTTTTGAATGCGCATGCTTGTGTACGTTCATCAAAGAGGAAAAGGGTGAGGTCTGACCCATTTGTCTTACAACCTTTGCCATATGTGTGTGATTGCAAAAAACAAGAAGAATACAAGCCAAGGGAGGTGATTTCGAGCCAGTTTTAATACAGGGGGGCCTTTCTTCATTATCTAAGAGGGCGCCCATGGGAGCCAGCCCAAGTAAGTCCCAAACCCATCTTAAATTCCTCTCTCACCTGTTGGTAACACTTGCCCTCATTTTCGAACGAGGTTCTCAAGAGAGTGATATAAAAAACATCTTGAGTCTCCCCTTGAAACCCAAGACGCCTACCCCCTGATCCCCAGAGTCAGTTGGAGGTCATGGGTATCGCTTCAAAACATCTCAAGAAGTTCATGCCGGAGACTAAAAGCTATGATCAGCTTGAAGTAAATGCGGCACTAAGAGAGGCCGAAGCCCCTCCTAACTAGGCTATCTATAGCAACTAGGCTTACCAGATCATGAGGAAAATGAACTATGATCCCTTCGCCAATCAGACATTAAGGGGAGAAAAAGTAACGACTCCCCATTTCGAAGCTATCCTAGCCGCGATAGCCCACCATAGGGCTAAACAAGGCAGAGGATATTAGCCTCTTGGGGTAATAAAAGTTTCGAGAGGCATTCAAAAAAGAAATCACATGAGGTGCAACAAAAGTAAGAAGATAATGAAATCATGCAACAAAGTCAAAAAAAAGAGAGAAGCACTTTATTCATCAATTAAATACTTTTACAAAGTACTGGCAAGAGGAAATGACATGTTCAGAAACTATCAATCATCTTATTGAACTCTGTGCAGTGCGCTGCTGGAGAAGTTTCGGTGCCCTAGACACGCTCGTTTAGTTTTACCACTGTTTGAGTCTCTTCGACCATCGCCATAGTTTCTGACTCAATTTTGCAATTGAGTTTGGACAAATCTTCAATCAATGAGACCTCCATGGCCCTCCTCTGAACCATCTCTAGCTCAAGACCCGCGAATTCCTACCTCAGTATCCTCACCTCTTCTCGTATTTCTATTATTCTCTTAAAGCTTCCTTGTGCCTCCCTTTTGAGATCCTGCTGACGGCCAGTTATCATGGCCTCCTTCTCGATGCAAGCATTAATCTTCTCGTGATGATGCAAGATTAACTCCTTCAACGAGGCTAGCCTGCTAGTTTCTTCCTCAAGATGTAGTACTTCTAATCGCAAGCTCTCCAACTTGTTTAGAGTTGCATTAAAATTGGAAAGCACTTCTGGTGCACTCCCAACCGCAGTAGTCACTGTGGACTCCCTTAGTTTTGCCAAAGCTTCTCTCAGCTCATTGAGAGGCAGTTCCCTCAAGCTCTGAAGGCCTTCTCTAAGCATGCCTATAATCATGCTAGAAACACAACTAAAAGCAGTTCTAGATGGTGCTGCTGAGACCACTACTGTTGAATAAATCTCAACCTCAAGGACCAGGCTTGTTGAAGTGATAGCCATCTGAGCCATTGGCTCGTCTAAAACAAGGGTAAAGCCTAGAGCTTATTGCCCCTCTGACTCATAGGCAGCCCCAGCCCCAACCTGCCTAGGCTTGCTATCTAGACCCTCTCTTACTTGCTCTTCATCCTCCTGAATTGTCACCTCAGCATTAGCAAGTTCAGGAACTGCCTCTTCTCTTTGGCCTTTGCCAGCTAATTCATTTCTAGCCACAACATCTTCAATTTGTCTTGCACCTTCAACAAGAATAACCTCGGCCACAAAGAGTTCAACTCCCTCATCTTCACAACCTATGTTTGCAGGGCCAGCAACCTCTTAGTTCTCAGGCATGACATCAACTTCAGGCTCTCCTCTTTGAGTCATATCCACTGCCTCGGTCAGGGCACTAAGCTCTTCATGCATGGAGGACACATACAAATTAGAGCCCCTATCTAGAGAAGTTCCTTCAGGACCTTCATCCTCGTCAGACTTCATCCGAGCCGCCCTGACTCAAGAACTATCCCTAGACTTGAGGGCACCTCCCCATGGTCTGGAGCACCTCCCGATTAGAAGCAATAACAATGGGCTCAGAGCGGATGGAGTCACCTCCCTCAGTTTTTGAAGAAAAAGAAAGCAATTAAGGAGAAGAAGAAGGTGGTGTAGAGAGCGCAGAAGGTGATACTGGAGTAGTTCCTAAAAGATCAAAAGAGGAAGAGCTACCTCTTGATTCTGACATCGTAGGAAGCTTGACACTCTTGTGCCTCTGAGTACACCCACTAACTGAAGGAAGTTCACGAGTATTGGTAGCGGTCGAGCACTTTCTTTTCTTCTCTCCCGTCGAAGTAGGAGCGGCCCCTACAGATCCACCTCCCTGAGAAGGCCCTCCAGGAAATTTACGATGGGGAGCACTCACGATCGGGGCGTTCAAGTACTGTGGGGGATGCTTTTCGTAACCTGGGACTTGCCGCCCCTCATCCCACTCGAAGATGGGAACTAAGATTATCGAAGACACTCCCAGTCCTTGCCTTCATTGCAAGAAATTCTAGCAATACCTCATTAGCTGTTATCTCATGCGGAAGCTCTATAGCTCGCCAGTTGGAGAGATAATATAAGACAAATAGCGCATTAGGAACAGGAGCATCCACTAGTCTCCTTTTCCTGATATTCTTGCACCAGTTACCATTTGCCCCTTTCCAAGGGTGATCCTTATTTCAGTTTCCCTCGCTGGTGATTCTCCACCAATTCACATAAGCCGTGGTCACTCGGACCCTCCTGCCAAAGCGAGGTAATACATAATTACTAGTTTTTATCATCTCTGGACACATAGACCAAGCGGTTCATATATGTTTTGGTAGCCAGCACTCTTGGAGAGTTCCAAACTCTTCCGTCTTCCCCTTGTTCACCTTATTCCGGCGCTTTTCAAAACACATCGAGAAGGGGCAGCCTTGATCAAGCTAGTGCTGACGAGCAAAGCGATGGGGGAAATACCCCTCTAACTTGGCACTGTGCGGAGTCCGACAAGGTAAGACTCCCCCTTTGATGCTCAGCATGACATGAGTTCCTTAATGATTGTCGGAGCACCGTCTAGCTCCTTCCTCAACTCATCAATGAAAGCACGATTGGCGAAGCTCCCGATCGAAAAGGGGACCTGTCTCATGTTCAAAGAATCATTCTCAAATAGACCCCGAACCTCCCCTAGGGTATGAAAGATAGCCCCCTGGTTGGAAATCCTCATCAAGAAGGGCCACAGTTATTTCCTAAGCATTGATTCTTGACATAGGTGTCAAGGAAATAGGCCCCTAGCCAGCCGTACACATAATGCACAAGGAATGGAGTTTTGAAATCCCCAGGAAAATCCTCTCCTCCTGCAATGTCAGTCCCTCCCACTTTGCCCTTGTAGGTTCCACGGGAGATGGCCCCTAGGCCATGGTAAATGTTGCACAGGCCCCTTAGGCCATATCGCATGCCACATACAATACGCTTGGACAAATGTCGTCCCCCCAGCCAGGGAGCACGAATTTTCTCAAAAATAGGGCAAAATACGCCGCCAAGAAGACACGGTCATCGCTGATCTCAAGTTGACATACGGGATGCGTCTCCATTGCGACTGCCTTCCCTTTCCCCTTTGGAGTGCCCTGACCACCCTTGGGATAATCTCCGGAAAAGAATTTCACCCATTCCGTGAAGGTGACCCTACCATTGCTAGAATCGACTGGTAGGTGTCGAAGATCTTTTTAAGACTTGCAAGCTGCTCTTCATCCCCCAAGATAGCACCACCGAAGATGACCGAGTTTGGGGGCGCGGACTCATCAAACGTAGCCCCAATCATCAGGAGACCTCTAATAAAATGAATATCTAGTAAATATATTCCTGCTTTCCCATGCCCAAGAAACCAGGTATTGCTAACATGGCTCCATGTCTCAAGTAACACCTTTACCGTATTGGAGCAACGGTCATAGTAGCTGCTCGAGCACTGGACTACTGCTAATAGTGAAGCACATTCAAGAGTACTTCTGTACGACCCCAATACCTTTGTAGTCCAAGAAGAGCATCCCTACAAGTATGGGTGCTACCCTTGAATTTCGAGGCCTTTTGTTGACCACATTAGTAGTCCCTTTGCTTATACCACTCGCTTCCCTAAGGTACGAAAGTTCTCCCCGGAAGCTATGTTCCTCTGCATGCAATGAAGAAGTGCCACCCCTTACTCAGTACTAACGTTGCCGTCATTGCCCTTGCATACTTCGAAACAAATGGGGTCAGTAATAAAAGTGAAAATGAGGGGCCACTCTGGTTCGCATACTGGCTAGGTCAGCCAAATGGGCTCACCCCTTGATAAAACCTTGCTTGTAAAATCATGGGCACTGATTTCTCCCTCCCTTGGAAGCCTCTTCACATCAGGGATTTGGTATGAAGAACCAGCCATTATAAAGGACTTAGTGGTTCACTCCCAAAAATTGCTAAGACACTGGATCAGCGCCGGATGAGCTAGTCAACACTAATGCCGGTTATGTTTCCTAATACTTAGCGCCGGCAGTGTCCCACTCATACTTAGCATCAGCTGAGTCTATCAACACTCAATGCCGATTAAGCTTGTCATTCCCCAGCACTGGTTGCGTGCCAACAACTAGCACCGGTTGAGTTTGTCAACACTCGGCGTCAGTTGAGCTTGTTGATGCCCAGCGTCGGTTGCGTGCCAACGACTAGCGCCAGTTGAGTCTGTCAACACTCAGCACCAGTTGAGATTATCAATGCCCAACGTCGGTTGTGTCCTCCAAAGGCCATCATCGACTATTATGGGATCTCTCGCGCGTGCCATGAATCCTAGTCGTGACAACTAGAACTCAGCTGCACTGACTTACAACCGTCTCTATGTCCTTTAGTGCCGCCTGACGCAAGAGCGAATGCCAACCGTCACCACGTCTCGCCGCTCTGCTTGACGCACGATGAACAAGGTAACCGTACACCTTCCCTGCAACGGTTTACCTCTCGCAGCCGTCCACCTCCCACGACGGTTCACCTCCTACAACCGTACGCCTTCCACATCGGTCCACCTCTCATGACCGTTCGTTTCCCTCCAGAACTTCTTCTACACCACCAGAAACCTAGTGAAAAACTTTCCCGCCTGTATTTTGGGGGGGAAGTCACCAAAAAGCACTAAAATTACCACAACCTCAGGGAAACCCCTTAAAACTCCCCGAAAAACTCACAAGACAAGAAGAAATGCTCACTGGTCCAAAGTTTGCCTTTTCAACAAAAAAAAAAATACAGCGGGAACCTCTTCTGTTTCCTAGAAAACTCCCCGGAGAACTCTCCTTTCCTACTCCTTTCCCTGCAACTTCACCAAATTCTTGGCAAAGTCTGATTGCCGAAGGCCTTCCTTGCAAAACCCTCGCTGGAATCCCACTGTCTGCCGAAAAGCTTCCCTACAAAACTTTTGATGGAGTCCCACTGCTCTTCTGAACTTCAACTGAGCACCCTCTCCTCACTGTTAAGAAAATTTTTTCTTAAGTTTGTTTTTACCCTTGGTGAAAAGTGAGGGAAAATGGGATTTCACCCACTTATATAAACAACACTACCCTCAAATGCCCCTCACAAACTGAGAATTCCAATCGTGTCTAAGGGGAGCCAGGCGATGATGAGCCGGGTCGGGCTTTGAATTGAGGTCCGAGGTAACTCCCATTGATCCATGCCCAACACTCGGTGAATTCTAAACAACCCTAACGCCAATCAACTTGACACCGGGTAAGTTTCAAAACGACCCAAGCACCGGTTAACTTAGCATCGATTGTGTTAAAAAACTGTCACGGGTCGTTCACAGCGCCAACTAAGTTTTTAACAACCCAACACTAGTTGAGTTTACGAAAACTCAGCACCGGTTGAACACTCGCACGAATCAATAATTGCAACACCTGACGCCGGCTGTATTTTCACCAGCTTATTGTAACCTACTCCAGGCTAAAGCCTTGCGTGTCCTACCACTATCCCTAGTGGAGTTGCACCTAGGCCATTGCACCCAAGCCGTGACTCATCATCCCCAGTGGAGTTGCACTAGGCCAATGCCCCCAAGTCGTGACTTTCATCCCCAATGGAATTGCATCTAGGCCGTTGCACCCAAACCGTGACCTATCATCCCCAATGGAGTCAGAAGCTATCCCTCATCCTCGTAGGAGTCACACCTAAACTACAACCCATTATCCCTAGTGGAGTTAGGGTTGTTCTTACCGCTTCAATTCCTGGTGGGTCTGTTTCACAATAAGTTATCTTATCCCTAGGAAATCGGGTTACCTATTCTCCATAGAGTCTCATCTTTCACCCCAGGGAGTCACGCTTTCCCACCTAAGGCCTAGTGAAGTCCGCTTCTATTGGTCATCCTTCAGCAAGTCACCATTTCCATATGAGCCCTTAGTTTGTGGATGGACTTTATCATTTTATCCCTAAGGAGTCGGATTGTCATCCATTGACCAATTCCCCATGGAGCTCCATCTACCTGGCAACCCAACCACGGTCCATGCCGCACGAACCTAAACTGCATA